TTACAACTTGAGTCAATGCCGATTAGCGAAAGAGTATCAATCTTTCGCATATTTTGGCATGTTGCGTGACTTTCGGCGACTACTGTATATATAGAATGTCTTTCTCTATCGATTTTTTAATATCTTTTAAACTCCACGTACATGTTGCCGAGGCTACTTTTGTTTACTCGTTTCATAGGAAATATTGTCTATATCGCACTTTATATGCTAAATATTGTACATTTAGGTTTCAAGAAGAATTTGCACTTAATGAATGAAGTTGGGTGCGATTTGCCATCTTGGTTGCGTTAAGGGTTTATAGTCCCTGTGCTATATAGTTTTCCTGTAATTAGGAAGAGTTCAGATGATAGTCAGAAAATATTTTGATTCGTATGTTTGCGTGTGTGTCACTTATAAAATGGATACAATGGCATTCAAATGGACAGGTAAGTTGGGGAGATAAAATCGACCCAAGTGTGATTAAGTTCACGGCACACGGTGGACCTCATAGTTCAATAATGGATCGTTGACTGCGCAAAAGCGATCCCTGCTGTGTGAGTTCTATTCCCACTGAGGCCGCGAATTTTTCACAATTTGGTCAACTGGCTTATAAAATAGGTACAATGGCATTCTAATGAACAGTGTACAGTCATAAGCCGTGTCATAAAGCAAACCTTTATTAGCAATACCAACGCATCGTTCCCTCAACTGTAAAAGTTGAAGAAAACGGGATAGCCATCAGATGACTACATAATGGATGTTTTATGGCACATTTTTGCAAAAAAATGTATTTAATTTAACAAGGCCAGCCAAAGAAGTAGAAAAATGCTTTCTAAGTGTGTTGTTATTTTTGATGTGGTAGGTTTCCCGGGCGCGGCCAAAGACGCCTTCCATAGAAAGCCGCCATATTGTTATCCACAATTATGATAAGATTCTGCTATAACATTGTCCGGTTTATAATTTAACCGAAGTAACTGTTTCTAATGGAAATTGGATTCCAGATTTTTTGTGCGCATTTCAGGCGATCGTCACTGAGTGTTTCTTCCTGTTGGTTTTTTTGTTTGTTGTATTTCCAGTCCACACTTGACAAACTTTGGTTGCATTTGTTTCTCATCGAAACTGCCTTTAGCCCCTGCTATTGTCGGTCAACCTCTGTTTGCAGAATCAGCCCATAGTAAGCAAAACTGAAATACATAAAAGTAGGAAGTTGAATTGCTCAATCTTCGCAAGTGTCGTTTGTATCAGTTGTTGCCATGCGGTCGCATCAATCGTACAACTTAGAAGATTGCTTAGGGAAGTCTTCATAAAGACGTCTTTAGTGGGCACTTGCTCAGAGTTCTGCATCTCCCAGTCATTTGGGACACGCCACGTAACCACCTTTTGATCAACTGGCTATTGTAAACGAATTCAAACTGTCCATATTTCCTGTGGGGTAATCAAATGTTCTCTTTTTATTTCAGCGTAAGGTGCTACAACAATGCTTGGCCGTGGGTGGACGTTTGCAGTTTACTTCATATTCATTTGCTGTGCTTATTTCCGATATACTTTAACGCTTTGCTGGTTTTAATGTGAACTTCAATAAAATGCAAGTGTTCAAAAAGCCTTGAATTTATAACTTAAGATATACTTCTGTCGAAATATGTGCTTGCAAATTAGACACACCACAGGACCTGCTCTCTCCACAAAAGCTAGTTCTTCGGCCCATTCGTCCTGAAATGTACAATACTCCTCAGCTCTTTTCGTCATCTTTGTCGCAGGGGTTAACTTTGGGCAAATGAAAGAGTGTGTGGCGGTTAAGGATGTTCGATCTACTATAACCGCTACACTAAGAGTATTCCGTCTGATGAAAGAAAGCAGTCAGGTGTAAGGAGCTATTTATTAGTAACAAAGCGACGTTTCCGTGGACTGTTTGCCTGCATGTGATAAATTCGTTCGTCTGGGCAAAATAAACACAAGGGACTATGGATGACGAGGCAGGCTGACCTGTGCACGTAAAATAGCCTTGTCTGTCAGCGTGACCTTGAATGAGCTGAGGTCAAGTCTGGGAGTTACCGTTCTTTAATAGAGCGTCCGTTATTTAGCGAGCTTGCCACGGCCGCTGGAGAAAAGGGGAGCAGCTGCTGCCGGCTAGCCGGAAAAGGAACGCTAAAACGACTGCTAGGTTGAACCTAGGGGGTCGGAGCGCCAGAGATTGACTGAGATTAAATTCATTCCAACACGCGTTTCGGCGGCGGCGTCATTTGGGGAAACAAAATCGCAAGATCTGAAGTTTCTAATTCTAATTTTATCTGAGAGAGCCAGATACGATCATCAGGAGAGCCACACCTGGCTCGCGAGCCGTAGGTTGCAGACCCCGTGTATAGGTGGATCAGTGATTTTTGCCCTGTTTCTCCAATGTACTTGCAGTCCCCATCCTTGCAAGTTATTTTCCACCCAAATGCGGAGGCCTCACTAGGGGGCAGTCTCTATTCAGGTTGCATTACACTGTGACGTACTGTAATTTGAGATCGATATGCTACGCCTACTGCGGCGGGTCTTAACAGTCAACAGACTGCTTTGGAATCTCCAAATTGCTGATCGATAATGACAAGTTACGCTTTGACAGAGGAGAGCTAAGACAATAAAGCCCCTTCCAATCAGCAGACATATGTTCGCAGATTCACATCCGGGAACTGGTACTTTTGCAAACTTGAGAACTGTTATCCCCAACCACGTATTCAGAAGTGAACCTCTTTGCCTAGGTGAAAGCCATATTTTAACCGCCTTCCATCTGTACGGAAAATCTGCGACACACGGACCATGGCCTACTCCGGCACGGGAAGTCGTCGGTCAGCGCGTTCTTAGACCCCTTTCTGCTTGCAGCTAGGTTTCTAAATGTAAAGCGTACTCCAGCCACCCAATGAAAACCGGCAAACCATCTAGTCCTCCAGAGGATAGTCACAAATCACAGACGGCAATTCCTGTCAATACGATCTTCCTAGTAAAAAACTCTTTGGTGAAATGTGAGGCAATGTGTATTTGCTGTACAGGTGTATTATTTGTCAAAAAAACTCATAGAATCGAGAGGTTGACGTTTTTCAAGCCGGAACCGAAGCAGGTAGCAATTAGGGGAGGCGGAGCCGTCTCTAAACTGTCGTCTTGAGCTGATTCCTCCAGTTCCTTGTATGCAAGGTCGAAAGTGACCTATAGTAAGCCAAGAAAAGAAAAGATAAAAGGGTAGGAATAGTGACATCGAAAAATACGGCATGAGAAAATCACTGTTTGGAGTTCCACACCGATCGGTGAGCACTGACCTACCATTATGTATACTCCCGATCGGAACCGGCCAGCCAACGAGCCCGCGCTGCAATAGTCAGAACAATGGACTTCTAACTAGCAAGGTGGCGGATTCCAGCTTCGGCTGGGGTACCACTTGGGTCTGGGTCGGACTAGCTGACGACGGCCAATAAGCCAGAAATTGCCATCCTAGTCTGCCTTGGCTTTGTCGGTAAAGTCCTTCAACCTATATAATCAGTGGCATTGCGGGGTGGCTCGAGTGAGAGCTCCAAAGGCACCGGGGCGGGACGAGTGTGTCCTGTAACTGATCGGGGTACTACGCCTATCTTCTACTATATATGTGCGTATACGCTGGTAGATAGGTGCCCAACGGTCGGTTACATGACTCCCTTGTCTCCTTTTGCGCCTTTTGGCAAGACCCATTTCACAAGTGGTGTGGCCCATCCAAGTTTCGAATGCGCTACGCCTTCGTTAAATTCCGTTACTGAAGAAATAATATTATTTGGTTTGAAAAGGTTTCTCGATTGGCCCACAATTTTTGAACCCATACCAACAGTTATATTTGAATTCAAGGTTTTCAAACTACGTGTTGCATGCATTCTCTCTAAGCGAAATTTACAGATTTCCTACGACATGAGGAAGAAGTCACATGGTTAACAAATAATTTTGCAATTAATGTGGATCATGTTGCATACTTTAAGTGCAATATAAATTAACTGACGTATAATATGTGATGAATGAAAATTTCGCGGTCATTAAAATCGCATAATTCGGCACTTTATTAAAACCGAAGGATTTTCTTTCACCCAACGAGTATATAAAAGAAGACTTTTACACATGTTTGCTATAAAATATATTTACATTTACAAGGGCATTGAAAATCAATGAGAAAATATAATTACTACATTAGTAGCCAATTTTACAGAGTATGCTTTTCGTAGGTGGTCGAAAAGAAGCTTGTGTAAAAGCCGGCGCCTTGACATGCAATATGGTTCAGTATATTTGAGGTACTAGATATTGCCTTTGAAGACCACATGTAATACTCACAAAATATTCATGTTAACATAGACGTGCTACTATTAAATACGGAGTGACATATTTGCATTGATAAATTATTTTCAAAACACAGTTATCTTGAAGGCGCAGGGATGAATTATATCAAATAATAAATAAGGGCGTTATCGTCAGGTATCAGCAAAGTGGTGCTATTATATATTATGTGATCTAGTTGAAGTGACTGAAATACCTTTAAATCAATTTTACAACCCTATTTGAATAAGTAGTGCGAATTGAAAGGATATTCGAGAATCTTGGCCGCGTTTCCTGAGAAAGGGAATCTACTGCAGCCTATTGTAAATGACTGAAAATTGCCAGCAATTAAAATTAGTAATGGGCACGAGTAAATATTGCAAATGTGCAATACGGCGAGGAAGCCGTGTAAAATTCTTGGCGAAATTTCACTTGTGACTTGAGCATATATTTCTCACGGTATTTCGATCAAAATAGGCATTAATTTTCGCGAAATCATAGGTAGCCCGACATCGAAGGTATCTCCTATGCTTCTAAGCATGGAAGGACTAAACTTTATTTTTTGCATCATGCTATTGAAGAACACCAATATGAGCAAAAGCAGGTTTAAAATATATCCCTTCCCGAACCGGAAAATGTATTTCAAAGTTGCTCAAATGCAAATGAAACCAAGTTTAAGAGATAGTATTTATTGCTATTAACAAGGAACAATTTCAATTTTAAAAATTATTTTTTGCTAATCTGGGAAGTGTTTTGCCACAAAATGCAGTAACAAAAAGGGTTTGGCCGCATTTTGGTTTACCACATTGACTATGTGAGAAGTAACCAAAACTACCTATAAAGTATCTTGAAGATGACGGCAAAGGTAAATTTTACCAAACATAAAGCATGCAGGAATATACTTTTTGTACGCTATAATTTTCGCTTATGCGTAATTTAGAAACGAGACAGACAGAAGAATAATAATTATGTCAAAATCTAACTATATTCGTCCAGTATTTTCCGACTTTGCAAGCTTAGAACAAAGCCTTGAATGAATCCGCTATGACGGAAAATATTCCAAATAACAACAATGCGTTTGAAATAGTTTGACTAGGGAAAATGGTTTTTATATTCAAAAAAGTGGTGTGGTTATTCATTTAGTTTAAGGAAAAAAATTAATTTATTGTTCGAATTTATAGCAACTTTTTACGTCTCCGGCACTTAAGAATTATAAAAAAAATTTATTTGCCTTAAAAAAAGCATTTTGTCCTTTTTATGTTTCTTTCAAGTAACAAATTTGCCTAAGGTTGTTCATCATTACTTCCAAGTTTTTGTACATGCGTAAATGTCGGTTTACAAGTGATTATAAATTTTTCGCAAACTTCGACATTCTTCATGACTTTTCCATCGTACCGTAAACATTTCACCAGGCCCGGTATCAGTTGTCCAATCCTAAAATGTGCACGATCTGACCAAATACGACTTTGCATCGAGGCGTTGTAATAATACAAACGCCACAGTGGCGGGAGGCTCTTAGGAGTGAAAAGACAGACGGAAGCAATGGAGGCAGTTGTAGAAGGAAGGCTGCTCACCCAGATTGGGAATAAGTTCTGTTACCTTCTGGAGAAATAAACGTCAATAAGAGGACCAGAATGAAAATGTGGACACTTGAGGAGGCTTAACATCTTCGAGCTTTAGATATGTCAAGTCTCTCAAACCTGATGTCCACAAATCATTGACAAGCGATGCTGGTCCTTATTACAGTTGGCTCAAGACAATTCCCAAAGTCACGTTTTAACGATATAGGTGTTCAGCCATATCCTCGAGCTGGGAGGCAGAGATGGCTAGAAAAAAGCGACTTATCTATCACGGCCTGCTGCCCAAATGACTTACTACATACAGGTAGTCTTGAAACCATGCCAACCCCGACCGTGAGGAGTGTGGATTAGGGCAGCGAGTAAAAAATTAATTTCACGTCTACTTCGCCGAACCAGATAGGCACAGTTTCTACAAGGTATTAACGCAGTGGCTTCCATGAGAGACAGGAAAGATCAAGTATCTGTAAATACATCAGGTCCACAAATCGTTTTTTTTCTTGGCGATATTCGTACCTACAGTGGCCCTCAATTTTTAAAAAATATATCTGAGTAAAATGGAACAGAATGAAGGCGAGGGAGGGGAGCGGGACAGGGGGACGGCCACTTACACCAAGACACTGGCGAATTAGACGGAGACTGGAGACCGTGTATGGTGTAGGCGCTGAGATAAGAAGCTGGCTGGCATTGTGACCGCCCTCCAAGGCCATCATCGTCAGGGCTGCAGCCTGCAAGGATTGGTCCGCACATCCACCGAGGTAAATCTAAACATTAAAAGGCATATGGTGATGATGATGATGAGCAGAGAGCAGGTAAATACTAATAAGAGCGCATTTTTGACACCTAAATTGGAGCAGAAAGCACAGATTATGTGATCATGGGATGTCCTCGTCTCCCTGTGGGTTCAAACCTCTAAAGAATGACTACGCGGAGTAGTGTGTGGGGTCTCAATGATGTCACTTAACGGTTTGAAATTTTGTGGTCGATAATGCTCACACCCCGCTTCTCGACCTATATACGAAAACGCACAAGGAAGCCTTTCCGTCACAGTCACATCCAAGGTCTTAAAGGGTTAAAACTCATACAATGAACGAGTTGATCACACCGCCTGACCACCCCGTGGATCCAAATATAGCCGTGGTAGGCATATCATTTGGTGCAGCGGCTACACTTGTACTGAATACGGCTGGTCTCATACCTAATCCAGTTGGCCACAATGGCGTCCTGGATTTAACCTCTCCACGCATGACGATCTCCAGCAGCAGATTTGGAAACTTCGACCCAACGACGGAGGCCAAACACCGAAGGTCCGAGAACCACTTCCATGTTTTGACGAACTGTGTCGAGCCATGTTTTGAGCTGACCCACCCCCCTGCAGGGCCTCTGGTTGGGTAACGGTGCCGGATCGAGAAGTGGGTGACGAAAAACTGCCCAAACCACTTCAGTCATCAGACGGCCTTAGATACCCTTGTGCTGTTGGCACAGCGAGTGCCGACTGTTTCATTGCAGACGAAGTCGTTCAGGATCACTCGAAAGAGCAGCAGTGATCAAATATCCCCAGTCTTCGTTCATCTTTCACGCGCACAGCCCAGCATTAACAACCACACGGCAAAACAGATCGAAAGACTGTGAAACCAACCACGTCGATGCTCCGTTTACGAATCCCACTACCGAACTGACTCCCACTAGATGGACGCCATCTTAGGCTCCTCCGTGCAGAGATATCTAACAGCAAAGGAGATAAGCGCACGATCACTGAGAAAGCATATGTATTTCTCTAAGCTCCCGATCTCGTACACTACTCTGGCATCCTCTACCGTACATAAATAATGTGTCAGAAGCAACGGAACCTATTGCTGGAGAGGTCGGCGTGGGTATCACCCATCATCAGACAGCTACCATGCGTACTCGATCCATTTAAATAAAGGACCAACTGACCGCAAGTGAGCACTCTGGTGTCCTCTATAAAATGTTCTGTCATGATTGGTGCCGCGCTTATACAGGGCAGGGCAGCTACGAGAAAAGCAATCGAATGCATAAAATGTATTTGAACGAAGTTGGCTGATTATATCAAAAGCTAGAATTAAGTGCGATGCGCTAAAAGGACGGGCGCAGATAGAATCACATTCCAGAAGGTAAACCAGATGAGGTACATAGTTAGCTTGCAGATACCAGATGAGATATGCAATTTGAAAACGAACCCACGATTTTACTGATCGTACTGTGCGACTCGCCTTTAAAGATTTAAAAAAATATCGCAACAGGCGAGCCGACAAAAGAGCTGCACAACTATACTTTAATGACCTCATTGGACTCAACACATTACATAGAGCAAACGAACGACCGCCAGTCCGAAGTTTAGAAGACCATTCCCTGCATTCGCGGTGCCTGAGGCTGTTACAACCCGACAGTTCGTCCTTCAATTTCCACCGTGTGCTCCATAACAGGGCGGTTCAGGAACAGTGACTTGCGCGTTAATTCGTCTTAAGTGATAGTACACTTTCGAAGCATCTACCGCACTCTCTCTTCCTTCACCAACCTGAGCCCGGTGTCAAGACAAAAGTAAAAAGACCAGACGTGGCGTCGGGCGCAGGTGAATGGCGTGACCGAAGCCGCACCTATGCATGCCACCCCTCCCTCATGCCTATGCTCAGCATTTGTTATCGGTGCACAACCCTAATAACGTCTACCGTACCCTGATCTGCCCCGTCTGGGTCCAAAAGAGTAGGCAAAAACACTGATATCATTTTATGCAATGCAAGGACACGCTCTCACTGACTGACAGTTTTCCAGGAAAGATGATGGTACTATGGGTATTGCAACTATAGTAGGAAACCAGAACGAAAATTGCAGACTTGCCTACATGAGTCCAAATTGGAAACTTGGAGGATAAACCGAAACTTTCTACTTGTAACGCACGTTTAAGAAATTGGCTACACAACATATTTGAGGAACTAATGTTTTAGACTGAGACAGTTTAAAGACCAAACGGCTCAGATGCAAATCCTATAAACAGACCTGCGACAGTACGTACACAAAAGGAAGGATAGGACACCCACACTTCAATTAGGAAAATTGGGCAGACACGGTTCGACAGCGAACTTATTCTAAACAAAAAGAGCCCTCGGACCGAACCGCCTTTAAAGTGTTACATCATTTTTCGAGGTAGGACTTCAAAGCAAACGGCCGTTAAACCGACCAAATAATCGTTTTAAGGCCAAAGTAGCGAAAG